TGTTCCAACTAGCGGGACTGGCCTGAGGGATTTTAAAGGGGGTTTTAATTACTTTTAAATTGGACATATTTAAATATTTCATTTTAATCGAATTTTAATTAAGTATATGTATATATGTTAGTATTTTATTCAATTGTCAGCCGCCCTGAGTCCGTAAGGAGAAGGGCGGGATATAAATGCAATTAATAAATAAATAAAATAAATAAATAAATAAATATTTTATAAGCTCCAAAATATTTGGGCAGCTCCATCTGATGGGGGGGGGGGAGGAGAGAGGACATTCAGTGAAAGAATCTGCAAGAGGCAGATCTAAGGAAGGGGCGATCCACTAGATTCCCTCCTCCCGTTCTGTTTGCTTCCACACCAAATAGTGAGTGGCTCTACCAGTGACTATCCAGCTGACGGTGAAGCCAAAGGTGGGATGGGGCTCCTTATGCTGGATGCCCTCGAGCGGGGATGCCGGGACGGTCTCTCCAGAGCCCGAGACTGCCGTTTTGTAGAGGCCGCTGAAGACCCCCGTGTCACTGACGCTTTTGATCTCCATGGTGGAGCCCAGGTCATTCTTCCAGGTGCCGCTCAGGGAGCACTAAAGGAGAGCGGGAGAGGGGAGGAAAGCGGCTCACGGCGCTAGCCAAGCCCAGCTGTCCAACAGGTAGAGACTCTGCCTCCATTTTCTCCGGGGGATCTGAAAACACCCGCTGCTCCCACGTGCCCGACCCCCAAGGCTGCCCACGCCGGGTCGGGCTGGCAAAGGCGGCCCATCCCAAAGTCTGTCGGTCGAGGCGCCTGCCAGACCGCGTCCGGGACGACACCCCGCGGGTGGATCGCTCTGCCAGCAGCGCAGCGAGCGAGAGCACCAGCCCCGGCGGGAGGCTGCCGAAGCCGCGGCCGAGCACGGAGGAGGACACGCTTGGCCGGTCGGCCGTCGGGGACCCAGGGCCTCTGGCGCTCAGCGCGACGGCACCGGGTGCGATCAACCCCGAGGAAGCGGCACCCTCTGCGCAGCCCGCCGGCTCCCACCAGCTGCTCCTGCCGCCCACCCGAGCAGAGGCTGGTGTGTGTGAGTGGGGGGGCTTTCCACACGGGAGGCTGGGACCCTCCGCCACCCACCCCGCATCTGACCTGGGCGGCTGACTCCGAGTTTTGGGGTTCGGCAAAGGTTCCGTAGCAGCCGAGCAGGAAAGCGAGGAGCCCCAGAGCTGCCAGGCCAATCGCCATGGTGGTCTCCAGGAATCTAGACGTGCCAGCCCCAGGCGGGACGCCCCTTATAAAGCCCCGCTCGCACCCGTTCTCCCCCCCTTTCAGCTGCCGCCTCCCTCCACCACCCCCAGCGGCTGGGAGGGGCGGGATCCCCGTCCGAGGGGCGGAGGCTTCTGCGAAATCGCTGGTCCTGCTGCGAGCGCTGAGCAGCACTTGGGCAGCAAGGGGGGCGGGGGGCAGAACTTTTTCTCGGGAACCCCACCGCCTCTGACCCAACACGGGCATTCTTACTCACCTCCTCCTCCTGCTCCTCCTCCTCCGCCTCCGCCTCCTCTTCCTCCGCCTCCGCCGCCGCCGTCACCTCCCAGGACTGAGAGGACAACGCCGGAGGCAGCGAGGGCGACGGTTCCGTGAGTTCCGTTTCCATGCTGGCTCTGCTGGATGCAAGCAGGAGAGGCGATCGTGCGGGCGGCGTGGCCCGAGCAAGGGTGCGGGGAGGGCTCGGTGGAAGGGAGCCGGGCAGAGGCCGAGACAACTCACGCGCGCCTGGCCAAGGATCCCTGGGCAGCCGGGCTCTCCCACGGGGGAGTCGAGGGAACCCCCTCCGTCTGGCGGCTCTACGTCCAGCAGATCGTGCAAAGCCCTCCGGTAGGCTTTCTGCCGCTGGGTTGCGCGCCTTGTGGTGCGAAGGCCAGAGCCGCCTTGCCCGAGACGACCGCCGGCCTCCCGATCTGCCGGTCTGCGGGACAATTAGACTCTTTCCCGGCGCCCCGAGGTGCTTTTTCCTGCCGATGCGGCGAAGAGGGCAGGGCGAATTGGCGGCCGGGAGGGGCGCAGGGGGGACTGGGGCACCCGGGGTGGAAGTTGACCAGGCGTCTTAACACACATACCCCGCAGTACCTTCGTGGGATTCCCGTCGGGCAGAAGAGCAGCGGCGGNCCCTCTGTAGTATTTTATATCCCCCCATTTCGTATCATCTCCAAAACTGATTACAATGTTTTCTAACTCCTAAACTAACTTAATTATAAATATGTCAAAAAGCACAAGGCCTAAAATGGAGCCCTGCAATTCCTCACTTCCTTTAAAATCAGATCTGCATCCTTTAATAAGCCCTTGTTGGGTTTGAGCTCTCCACAGGCTCTATCCATTTAATGGTTGTTTAGGACAGCCACAGGAAGCCTTTTTCTTCACCAGGATTTCATTGATATTTGTCAAATGTTTTGCTGAAGTCAATGTTCATTATGTCCACTGCATTCCCATAATCAACTAAAACAGTGTGTCAAAAAATATCAGGTTGATTAGGGGTCATCCCAAACTCTTGATGCTCCTGCTAAGCACTAAAATATGATGGATCTGAGATGGGCCCAGGAGCTCCTTTGAGACTCCTGGACAACCTGACTTAGAGAGTTCAACTCACCCATGCTCTCTCTGTCTCTGTCTCCATCTCCATCTCTTTTTCTCTCTGTCGATTCTGCCCAGCTCCATCTGGAGTCTTGGAGGAGAAGACCCAGGGAAGCATCAGCTCTTCTCTTTGCCTCTTTCTAGTTCATCTCCAACCAGGTCCTCCTGGCAGCAGATCCACTCCTTCCTTTCCCTTCCTTGGACCCCTGACCCAGCAACCCCCCCCCCCTTTTCCTTTGCTTTTATCTTCTCTTGTGAGCATCTCTTCCAGTTTTGCCTCAGTTTACCTATTTGCTGGAGCACGTCCATGGCGACATAGTGGGCTACAAGAGGAAACAGGAGGAAGAGCCTCAAGAGAGATGACAATCTCTGAAAAAAAAGCTGTGTCCAAGGGAGAAATGAAATTTGAGGAAGAGTCTCAGACCTAAGGACTTTCTTCCTTTTCACAAAGATGAAGAGAGGAGAGTGGATTGAACTTATTAATGAGTCTGTCTCGGGGTTCCACCTTACGGCCTCCCCCTAAGAAGGCACCTGGGCCTCTCATGGTAGCCAG